CCTTTTTAATTTTTAATTTTGTAGCACTGAGTTTTGTTTACGCAAATGAAAAGTGCGCTTATAAATAAAATATATTATTATTATTATCCCTAGCATTTAAAGAATAAATAAATAATATTTTACAAAATAAAAATATTTTCCAAAAAAAAAAAAAAATGTTCATGCTCTGGTTGGTTGGTTGTTTAAACAAACTTTTTAGAGCTAGCTCTGGCTTGTTGATTTGAATCACGCACAGGTCATTTTACAAACTCCAATTGGTTATTAGATATGTTGATGTCTATGAATTGCTGCATGCAATTGTGGGTGGGGTTAAAAATCGTATCTTAACGGTCATCTTGAGGAGTAACTTAAACTGTACCAAGTTCTGCTAACCTTTAACCAACATCGATATGGCTGAGGGTCCGGCGAAAAAGAAATCAAAAACGTATTATTTCCACCCGGAATGGGAGCATGAATTTCTTTTCACATCAGTGAAAGAAGACTATATGCCTCATATGCCAACAGGCGGTAGCCTTGGCAAAACGGGGCAACCTGGAGCGCCATCATGCGAGCACCCATGGTAAATTCAAAGACTCATATCCACTCAACAGCGCATTAAGAACCAAAATAATTGATGAACTGAAAAGAGGACTATAAGCACAGCAGTCGCTTTTCATCGCGCCTACAGCAAAGAGCAATGCAGCTACAGAAACGTCCCTCCGGATTAGCCATATTTTGGCTCAGCACAAAAAAACATTTACGGATGGTGAGATGATTAAAGAAGCAATGAGCGCCACAGCTGACGTCTTGTTTGCGGATTTCAAAAACAAAGAGGACATAAAAGCAAGGATAAAAAGTGTACCACTTGGTGCACCTACTGTAGCCAGAAGAGTCCAGTCATTGTCCGAAGATGTATCCCAGCAAGTATTAAAAGACTTGTCTCTCTCGGAATACTTTTCAGTTCAATTTGACGAGTCTACCGATGCCACAGACACAGCCCAGCTAGGTGTGTTTGTCCGGATGGTTTTCACAGATTTGACTGTCAAGGAGGCCTTTCTTGCCCTTATCCCATTGAAAGAAAGAACCAGGGGTGAGGATGTGTACAAGGCATTCAAGGACTATGTTCATGAGTACAAGATTCCCATTCATAAAATAGTGTCCTTCACAACCGATGGGGCACCAGCGATGCTCGGTGTTCGTTCAGGATTTGTTGCGCTGTGCAGAAAAGACCCAGACTTTCCACCATTTGTAAACTATCACTGTGTGGTACATCAACAGCCATTGGCAGCTAAAGCAATTGACATGTCGCATGTATTGAATGTTGTTGTTAAGATTGTCAACTCAATTCACGCAAAAGCACTCCAGCACCGGCTATTTAAGTCTTTATTGGACGAGCTGGACTCTGTGTATGGAGATTTGATCCTTCACGCAGATGTAAGGTGGCTCAGTCGGGGCAAGGTGCTCCAGCGTTTTCTGGATTTGCTGCCAGAGATCATCAGTTTTCTGAAGTCGAGGAACGAGGAGTATGAGCAGCTGTCCGACGATACTTGGATATTGGACTTGGGGTTCCTTACCGATCTGACTGCAAAACTCATTGACCTTAAAGTGCCCTTGAAGCAGGCTCGGACTGGCCATCGGGAGCACCGGGAGGTTTCCCGATGGCCTGGCCTGCTAAGTGGCCTGCTGGCCTGAGGATTTTTTTTATGTATGTATTGTGAACGCAACGCTGCGCAAATGTGGGTCTGACTCTGCCTCACAGAGGGTGACTGGCTGTACATGATGTGGCCTGCCGACATGGCCACTTTCATACAGACCATAATGCCCTCGATTGGTCTCTGTGTGTCATTCAAGCTCGGGAGGGTGTGTTTATGTGTGGCGCGAGCGAGCGAGAGAGAGAAATCGCGCGCATCGGTTACGTGTAGGCTATTGTTGTTGTTAGCATCTGGTACTAGCTAGCTGCGCTAACGGATATAAGGAGCTGTTTCAACAACAAGGTGGAGGAGAGTCCTCTCCTGTCAGACTGAGAGACTGATAACTACAGCTCAGGTGAGGTAAAGGACTCTGCTGAGTGTTTAGATAGTTAACTTAGTTCTCAGTGGGTCTCAAACGGTTTGGTCACCATTCATGTAAACACATATTTCCATTTGAGGGGGGAGTGATTAGTAAAATATAGATGAATAATAATAAAAAAACGTTAACTAGGTGAAAAAATGTAAGATAAACTTTAAAAACTTGTTGAGATCTAAAACTAGTCTTTGCTGCTGCCTCAAAGAGGAGCAGGGGGGAGAGGAGGGAGACAGGAGTGGCTGGTTCAGGAGCACAGACACACTCACAACTATAAATGTATATATAAATGAACCAAAAACAAATAAATAAACAAGTTTCAATGTTTTTTCATATTGGATATGGTATGTTATTGGTTATGGCCATGTTCTTATGATTTTATGATTATTTAAATGTATACAGTTCTGTTTCATATAGGTGTAGTCTCTCTCTTTATTTCCCCCTCAAAATGCACCAGATTGATGCATTTAAGTCCAACTTTAAAAAAAAAATCTTACCGGGGGAGAATGCCCCCGGACCCCCCTATAGGATTTGAGGTCCACCCCCACTTAAAATATGTTCACATGAATAGGTTCCTAAATAGATTTGCACATTTTTTTTAAATAGTAACCCATCGCCATATGTTTATTTTTTGGTAGTAGATTTAGAGGGCTATCACTATGGGCAGCAACACTATAAATATTGACAAATAAATCCAGCAAAATGCCACAAAAAACTGGTAGTGGCCTGGCTGGGTGTATAATTCCCGGCCTGACTTATTGTCCCAGTCCGGCCCTGCCTTGAAGTGCATGTTTTTGCGCCAAAATGAAATGGCAGTTTCATTCCTTACATATCATTGTGCCTGTTCATGGCTAAAATAATTTTTAATTATTAATTAATTAATTATTAAAAATTAAAAATTAATTTTAATAATAACGGCCGTCTAAGCCTACCAGAAGTTGCAGACGATAGCGGCTGTGACGTCACAAGATGGGCCCAGTTGTGATTGTAAACATGGCGGAGACTTTGGAAAGTGATACAAGTGCGAGAGAAATTATTGATTTTTCAGACAGGATAGATGAGGAAAGTGGCACAGAAGATGGAAGTAACGATGAGGAAGCGCAGGACATAATTGAACCCTACAGATTTGAGCCGTCAGGGACGTCAAGTGGGGAGGATGATGGCGACGACATGGACGATGGGGAAGACATTGACCGGCTACAGAACACTGAATGGTTAGCAGTAACTGTGCTGTCACTGTCGATTGGAAAATAGGGGGGGGGGGCTTGGGCTTGGGCTCAGCCTCTGGGAAATAATTAGCTTATGTACATGTCATGTGCTAGAGCAGGGGTTCCCAAACGTTGCCATGCCAAGGACCCCCATATAGCATTATCCTCTGGCGGGGACCCCCCTGTTGCAATTTTTTAGTCTAACCCTTTTTAAATGATGTGTACAAGTGCCTCACGATTGAGCATGCATTGCCACTACATTTGGGGCCTTCTGCCTGATAAAAGCTGTCACTCCGCTTTCTTTGCCTGTCATAGCCCCACTGCTCCATCTGAACACACACCCACACAACGAGACAAGTCAAGTCCATTTGAGATGATGTACTCATCTAAAACTTGGAAAATGTCTCTTCATGTGGTCCTACCTTCCAGTGCTTTGCAAAAATAATATTTCCTCAACAAAGTTGTCTTCTGAAATAAATCTGATGTTTGCAAGCAATTCTGCGACATTTGCTACATCGTGCTCTCATCCAGCTGCAGAGCGAAACATTCACTAGCTCTCACTTGCTCCAAAAGCTGAGCAGAGACTCAGTTTCAATCTCATTAGCGGCAGCTCGATTCTGATTGGCTTGAAGGGCGGTTGTGTGATTCAAAAACAAAAAATATTAAAAGATTGGCATCAAAGGACACATAGATTGATAGATATACAGTTATTAATAACATCTAAAAAAAAAATCCTGTTTCCCTCAAACTTTGCGTGACCCCCCTGGCGCCCCCCCGGGGGGTCGGGGCCCCCACTTTGAAAAACACTGTGCTAGAGTATTATTCAACTAGAATTAGAACTTTCTGGTCATTGAATTAAAACATACGCCTGGGTGACCAGCCCTGTTTTTCTGCTTATCTGCAGCTTATGGGAATAATTCCACCTATCAGATAATCAGGGGGCGAGAACAAGAAATGATTTTCATGCGCACATAGTCTAACTTTATTGGATCTTCTGCATAAAATTCAACAATATACAGTTCCAAGTTAAAATGATAAAATCCAGTGACCTTGCAAAATGTCGCAACCTGACAACACTGAAACATCCTGGCATTCCTGCTAATCATAATGTTACATCTGTTTTATATGTTTTAGGTGTCAGTGCGACAACTGTAACATGGACACTGTAGCCGAGAGTGTGTGCTGTCGGGAAATCCCCGCTGTCACCAGGACCATGGAGGAGGATGGTGTCCACAGCTGCATAATCGACCACCCCGGCTTCCGATCTGGCTGTCTATACATCTGGGTGCTGCGTATAGCATACTATGGATACAGGCAACATTATGGCCATCTCCAGCAAGAGGGCAATGAGTAAGCCTTACAAACACTATTTACAATAAAGTCTATTACTAGTATATAAATGTATCAATTTATATGATGTCATGACAACTTTTGCAACTTTATACGTTTGAATATTAGTCTTTTATGATCTGAGTATAAGAAAATGTAACTTTGAAGTTGACCTATTATCATCTATTGTCCTTCATTTGTAGTAGTCTCTTGACAGTAGCTGTCGTCATATCAATGCTATAATGTTTTATCTTGCAGACGCCACCGATACACAGCGTACCGCCAGCTGGTGAGACTTTGCTGGGGTTACCTAGGACGCGACATAAGAGTGCCACTGCCCTCTTGTGCAGTGAACCGAATTCGTCGACAGTTTCCATCCATGGACTATCACGGTTATGAAGAAGGACAGTGACAATACAGTTCTGAAGTGAATGTTTAATACAGTTCCACAGTTGAAGCTGCACAGTGACAGACTATTTGGTCTTGAAACGACTGGCATGTGCCTTGATGGCCTCTGCTTTGTCAGGCTTCTCCATTGCCGAGGACAGAGTGGGAGGCTCCTCCAGCTGTACAGGCCTGTCTGCGCTGGGTTTCTTGCAGAGGTCGACCACCTCTCTCATGAGATCATCCACATAGCCTGCAACAGAATACAAAATTCTGTTAATAATAATAAATGGTGTCTGTCATCAAGCCGAGATCATTCTTTCAATTGGGGTTTTGAACTGAATTAGTTACTAAATCATTAGTACCGGTACATTACCAATCAGGACAATATTATTTTGAGTAATTTAATTTCAAACTCACTGAATGTTGCCTCTACTAGGATCTTCTTCACAACATGACCTCCAGCCTTGTACTTGGGGTAGCGGATTTTGAACCTCTGTTCTCCCGCCTTCGTAGTTGCAGTATGTCTGCTGGCATTCTCGTTGTAATGCAGTCCGGCAAGAAGGGTTCTGTTAACATAAACAAAGAAACAGTTTTCAAAATGTAAAAAGAAATATCTCTCTTTTGTAATTATTCCACGTCTATACATGAACAGCTCTATTAAACTTGATATTGATTCAGAAAGTGATTTCGTGTTTTATTTTAGTCCTGGCAATGTGTGTCTTGGAGTTGACAACTTCATCACAGTTCCTTCCTCCATTTTGACACACTATGGGAGATGTGACGTAACGTCGCAAGCTTTTATACAGCACGGGGACCTGGTTCAGCACGGTACAAAGACGCCCATTCCCAAGTAACTGAAACAAGTCTTTAGCTGGTACAAGCCTTCGAATGATATGCTGAAAAGACCAACCTGCACAGCATGCCAGTGTAGGAGTACACGTAAGACTTTGGTGCAAACTGAATGATGAGGCTGTGAAAGCCCTCCACCTTGGACGTCTGGTGTACGGCAGAGAGCTTGCCGATGTCCTTGCACAGCATCTTGTCTGTCACCAGTTTGACAGCTGATAGTGAACCTGCAATCAACAGATCAATAAATCAATCATCAACACATTTCAATGGCAGTGCTTGACATTATGGATTATCAATTCTAATGTTTGTTACTCAGATGTAACTTTTTGGATTATGTACCCAACCATAAGACAGTCAGTACATTGTTGTTGCTGGGTATGTCCTGGGTTTTTAATCACTCAGTATGTATACACTGTATACATTCCATACTCCTTTTGGCGGTGGATGACGGTTAAAATTACAGTCACCCGTTGCTGACGCAACAGACGTAATTTTAAATGTCACGTCTGCCGCCATATCAGAAAAAGGAGTATTGACTCTAAACTCACTTGGTTTGATCCACTTCTTCTTGTGAGCCCTGCCTTGTAGTCTCTTGTGCGCACATGTGGGGAACTTTCCACCATGGCCGCTGTGGAGGTTTAGGACATGCCGCTCCACCGACTTCCATTTATCCACAATCAGTTCCGCGTTGTCTTGCGTGGAGGAAACCACTGCCCAGTACAAGTGGTTGATGATGCTCTGTTGCCATGCTTTCAGGTCCTCACAGCCCTTGAGCTTGCAGATGGCTTTCAGCTTCTTCCCAACAGCTGCAAAGACAATAAATAAAACTGACATCATAAAGAGATCTATCTATTTGAGTGAGGTGTGCAAATAAGATTTGTGACACTGCATGCTGCAATGTCTGTCTGGTGATAACAACTTTGCGATAACTCAATAGAAGACTCTACTCCTTGAACTTCAAAAGAAACAACATTGACACATACACTTGGCTACATGCCAGATGTCATACAGATGTTTTGTGTACGGCATATTCTCTCTAATCCATTTGGCAATCTGGCGATGTCGGTCTGTGACGAGAGTGCCAATCTCCAGGATGTCCTCAAAGAAGGCTACCATCCTCTTCAGGCCTTCCAGTTCCATATGGTAGCTCCCACCACACTCGTTGCTCTGAAAATACAGCAGGGAACATTCCAGTTAGGCAGATAACTAGACAGGAGCTCTGCGATGAGCTGAATATGATTTGAAACACTGTTACTATTACAATATTTACAGATATACATTTACATTTCTCACACAAAACCCTGAACTTGAACAATATAAACTGTACCTGCACCAGCTGTAGGTCTAGCACCACATTTGATTCCAGCTCCATTGTAGTGTATGTTCCAAATTTTGCGCAGTGTCCAGGGCTGTCGGCCCTGCCGGCACCCCCCAGAACCAGAGGTCGCCCTTCAGTCTGCAGCATCGCAATGTGGGCTGCCTGTTGGTTAGGTGGTCCATACACCCTGTATTGCAGGCTGCAGGATGTCTCGCTGGTGTGAGAAGAATGTTCGTTTCCCGTAGGTCATCACACCCATGTGGTTTAGGACTCGCAGCACCTTTGTTGGCGACGCACCGGCAAACAGTATGCCTGCAGACAACAGCATGTTGCCTGCAGGGAAGTTTCCAATGCTCGGTGCCACTTAGATGCCTGCAGACAGGAGTCACATGTTTGGTAGTGTTCCAGTGGTTGTCCACACTTGACGGATGTCGACGCTGCCGCAAGATGGACAGTGGCACCACTGTAGCAGTTTCCCGAGGCTGGAGCCAAAGACGATGTATTTGGGTTCCTTGTGGCAGATCTCATCCCCAAATGCTTCCCGACTTTCTGACAGATCTGACTTGTCAGAAGAATGGGGCTACTGGGTTCCCAGTCTGAGGAGCCTGATACTGATGGTGGTGCAGCTGGACTGCTGGACGGCGCGTCTTCCAGTTGGTGTTGCTCCAGCTTCGACGCCTGGCTGCTGCTGCTGCTAGAGCAGTGGTTCTCAAAGTGGGGGGCGCGCCCCCCCTGGGGGGCGCAGAGGCATGCCAGGGGGGGCGCGAGAGACCAGGAGGAAAAATTGTAATAAAAAATTAAAAACATTTTTTTTTAAATCATAATTTGAAAAATTATTGATTTGAAAATAATATGCAACAGTACTATTACGTCTGGGTCTCTGTGTTTCATTAAAGCTCGACTCTCTGTGTGTGTGTGTGTGTGTGTGTGTGTGTGTGTGTGTGTGTGTGTGTGTGTGTGTGTGTGTGTGTGTGTGTGTGTGTGTGTGTGTGTGTGTGTGTGTGTGTGTGTGTGTGTGTGTGGTGTGTGTGTGTGTGTGTGTGTGTGTGTGTGTGTGTGTGTGTGTGTGTGTGTGTGTGTGTGTGTGGAACGAGCCATTTGTATGTGCGAGAGAGAGAGCACACCAGGGTTGCGTTCCGATAATCCAAAAATCAGCTCCTAAATTCTAACCCTATCTCCTATTCCTTGACCTCTGAGTGAAACGTCACGGGGTTAAGGGATAGTGGATAGGAGAATTCAAAAGGATTTAGGAGAAGAGACTGCGGTACTTTAGAGAATCCGAATGCACTTTCACTATCCGACGTGTTTATGATGCGCCAGCGGACGTCATGAATGTGCGTCTGCTGCTGTGGGGAAACTATGGAAACTACAGTTTTCTATACAGCGGACTACAACATGGATGTTTAATAAGAACGAGGGACTACTGTAAACTCATCTAGAGACTCTGCACCGTGCTCTGATGCTGTTGCTTTATGCTTTATGAACGTGGACAACAGAGAAACATATTCTTCATGACCAAAGTTGGAATTGAAATAAAAAAGGAAAGTGAAACTTCTGCTCGTCACCCTCTCCCTCCGGTCCACATTAATACAAATGATCCCAATACGTATGATTGTATGAACTATGAAAATATCTTAATATCAATACAGATGTATTTATTATAAACGTTAGTCCTTAACATCTATCACTGTGTATATCACCATTCAAACATCTTTTAAAAGTTGAACAAACTCCACACAGCTCAGTAAAGACTGTGAAATGTTATTTGATCATTTCAGTAAAAACTAACGTTCATATTTCTCTTTTTGATTATAATACTGATGAACGTTCAAAACAAAGCACTTTGGCAACTTACCACATACGTTTTAAAATGCTTAATAAGCACCGTAACTTTCATGATATCATTTCTCGGTCATAATCGGTTGTTTCCGTGAACGGCCGACTGTTGAGTGACGGCAAATGCTGCGGCTGCAATGCATTGTGGGGCAGCATTTTCTTCTTTCCTTTCGTCAAGGGAGGTCCAGTGATTCCTAAGCTAAAGGAGGTTATAAAGAAAGTTTGAAACCTCCTTTCCTTTCATTTGGAGAATTGGAACGGCACTTATCATGGCTGCCAGTGACGTATTTCCGGGTCATTTCACTTGGTTAGGAAGGTTCCTAAGCTAAATGGACTATTGGAACGCAACCCAGTACTGGAGATCGTTGTTGTTAGCTTCTGGTGCTAGCGAGCTACGCTAATAAGGAGTTTTTTCAACAACAAAGTGGAGGAGAGTCCTCTCCTGCCAGACTGAGAGACTCAGTGAGCTAAAGGACTCTCAGTGTCATCTCAGTGGGTCTCAAACGTTTTGGTCACCATTAATGTAAACAATTATTTCCGAGGCACACGTTTATATGATCATTATAGTTATACAAAAATAAGAGAATAAATGAAAAACAGGTATGAAATACTATAATTAAAAAAAGAATACAGTTTAAAAGGGTGAAAATATCCATAAAGAAAAAGTAAATCTGTTTACAGTTCTGTTTCATCTGGATGAGAAATGTATCCATAGATCTCTCATTTTGCTCTCAAAGTGCACCAGATTGATGCTTTTAACTTCAATATTTAAAAATAAACCACACCACCTATAAAAATAGCACTTTACCCCTGCTTACACCTATATGCCGTGAGCTGATTATCGAGCCTTCATTGTAACTGTCACACTGTGTATATGCGTGGGGAGTGTTGCAGTAGAACATTCCACTGTAGCGCCTGGTACATTAATGGGAAACCCTAAATGTTTGAGCACCCTCTATGAAACGTCAAGCTACCCCACAGCACCCCCAAAATAAATCTCTGGCGCCACCACTGAGCCTGACTATTTGTGTTGGGGGGGCCCGACTTTTTTTTTTCTCCAAAGGGGGGGCCTGACAGAAAAAGTTTGAGAACCACTGTGCTAGAGGCAGCCTGTGGTGGCTGGTCAGGTGTAGCTGGGTCTCTGGTGCCATGGACTTTCAGCTTTCTCTGCCTCCCTGGTACTGGTAGACTTGCAGTCAGCATCTCGGGCGTCACCTGGCATGCTGGAAATGAAATGATCAATGGAATACTATATTGTGTTTATATAAAACCACAAATCTATGTTGATCTGTTGCTTACTATTTAGAGTTAACAAACTCAACATTAGAAGGAATATCCCGTACTGTAATACAGTATTATATGACACACTCGCTCATCCTGTCAAACTGTTGTGGGTTTTTTTTTTAGGAACTGATTAAACTTTGATTTAATAGTGCAGTACTATTAACCAATCAATAGTGGCATTACCCTTTGACTGTGTCTTTGTTTTTGTGAGTTGTTTCCCAGTCTGTGTCTTGATGCTGACAGTAGCTGTTGGAGTCCAGTCTGTCTGGCAGGCCTGATCTTGACTCTGTCGTTCCTGCCAGGTGAAAACATACATTTCATAGTGTGATGTTGTAAAATATTTTCGAGGGGTTAGAAGTTCTAGACAATATTATCATGATAAACATGTACCCTACAGTAATGCTTAGCTAGAGCCAATGCATATGTAAGTCAATATCATGCCTGACTAGCAACTTTCTACACTAATTATATTTAGCAGACTGGTTTGCCGGTTGCATGTTTGGTGTTTGGAACAAGACTAATGCTAAGCTTTTTGTTTTACATAACAAGTGTAAGATCTAAGGTGTGCATATTACAAAGAAGGTTTTTTTTCATGTGTCCACTGTTGCCCCTTTCACAGCCTGAAAAAGTGCCGGTTTTTCCTGTTCACACCGCAGCGGCGCCGCCTCTTAGCTCCGGAATCCGGTTCACTTCCAGCTCCAAAAAATTATCGGTCTAGAGGCAAGAGCTTCGGAGCTAAGAGGTGGCGTCGCTTACGTCTCTCTTACGTCGAGGCGTGCAGGAAACTAAACCCTCCTCCCATGAACATGGGTCGACTGTCATGCCTGCCTACAAGCAGTAGTGCTTATAAACACACTTTATAAAGTCAGGCCACACTAACCAGGCTTCGTGTGATTCTGTTTATTTGTACCTTACTTTGACCATCCGTTCACTGTTATTGATCATTGTGGAGAGAGGCAGACGTTTTGTTTGGTAGTATAGCAGCTATCGGATGGAATCAATACATGGGCTGCACAGGTTGTCGTGTCCGACTATCACAAGTAGAATCATAATAAAAATACGCCGGTAAAATGTGCCTGTAGAAAACGGTTTATGCCACAATAGGATAGCAATAGCAAGTAGTCAGTTTAGCTTCGGTTGCTATGCAAAAAAAAAAAAAGAAAAGGTTGGAGAAGTCGTTATTTAATTTAATCTGGCTTTGTGTGATTAAAAGCAACACGATCATCGACCCGAAGCAGTTCCCCGTTGTTGTTGTTGTTGTTGTTGTTGTGAGCGCCGTAACGCCGTTGGGGAGCAAATCAGCGATGTAAACGGTGACGTCATGACGCAGCAGCGGCAGCACCAGTCGGGTGCTGGGCGGTGTGAACAGAGCGGGAGCAGAAAAGGGAAACTGGAGCTGAACCAGAAAAGCTCTAGCTCGGAGCTAGAAAGGGAAAAGCGCTGGTGTGAAAGCTGCATGTGTGTGCCAGTCATGATAACGTGCAAGGTAAAACCAGCCAATGTGCTCATCTAAAACAAAACCTGGGGGCAATCACAAACCTGTTCCGGTGCCATGTCTGTGTCAGTGGCCAATGCCATCTCCATTGATTCCTCTGTGGAAGCAAAACTGCTACTCTCCACTTCTGATTCTGCCAGGAGTTCTTCTACTTTCTGCAAATGTACACAATATGAAATGGATTACAAAATTATTCAAAACAGTATCGGCCTACACCTTGCTCATACCATTTCAACAATAATAATTCAGGAGACTACTAGCCACCGGAATTCAATCCTGATTTAACATCAACAAATTAGGCCTAACAACTTTACCCGCTTTCTCTCTCTCATTGCAAATGCAGATCGAGCCGGTCTTGATGTTGATGTTGAAAGTTGTCCCACAGCTGAAGTCCCAACTCTGGGGAAAACAGTTGGAATTGCTCCCTTCTTCAGGATCAAGGTCCTCTTTGTCGCAATGCCCATCTGCGCTCGTAGTAGAGCACTTTCATCAAAGGAGTCCCTTGTGAAGTGTTCACTGCACAGAACACTGTATTTGGTAGGCTCCCAGTCCTTCCTGGTTCTCTGTTTGCTTTGCCCATGCCTTTGACAGATCTGTAGAAATAAAATAAATCCAACCATTAATAGTCAAAAGATAAGCTCTCTATTCTATAGGTAATCTATTATGACATCATTAACATGGCCATGGAAGTCAATTTAGTTAAGGACAATATTTTGTCATAGATCTAGACAAGGGTGTAACTTTGGTTTGAGAAGTGGGGGGGACACAAAACAATGAAAAATGTTCTCGATTTAATTCCATTTCCTGCCTTTCTACAAATATATTAGGGACTATAGTGTTAACAAATCCAAGAAAAATGTGTAATGTACATAATGAGTGTGCACACTTATCTAGTATCCTATCCATGTGAACCTGTTTTATTTGTGATGACCTCACACCCTCTAGGGGGGTCCGGGGGCATGCACCTTCTTTAAATTGAAGTTAAAGGCATCAATCTGGTGCACTTTGAGGGCAACATTAAGAGATTTATGGATACAGCTCTCAACACTCATATTAAACATATATTTCAATAATCAAAAAACATTGGAAGGATTTCTTAACCTATTTTATACAACTAACATAGATGGAAATATTTGTTTACATAGATGACCAAACCAACTGAGATAACTTAGGCTACAGTTTATAATCTAATCACTCAGAGTCCTTTACCTCCCTGAGCTGACGTTATCTCTCTCAGTCCCACAGGAGAGGACTCTCCCTCTCCTTATTGTTGAAACAGCTAATCTCCGTTAGCTCCGAGCTAGCACCAGATGCTAACAACAACCCTGTAACTCTCTCAGTCTCTCTTTCTCTCTCTCTCTCAAGCTGTTAAAACTTTTCAATCAAATCGACCAGTGGCCTTTATTTGTCATGAACAATCAACGAATCTACGAAACAATGACAGCAGCCAGACTCACCTTCATCTTTTGGGAACAGAAACATCGCCACTTCGGCAGACTTGACATTACTACAGCCAGCGGCAATGCATCGCTTCCCGTGTGTTTTTCCTCCCTTTTTCTTCACTGTCGCCTCCATTGTCAGGTTTTCTCGATTGGCAATCACTTCCAGTCGACTCCGACACACTTTCCAGTCAAATACTCGCTCAAAAACTTTGATAAATTCGACTTTGAAACAGAGAAACAATAAACTGTGATGAATGTAAACACTTCGGCGGCGACCATCTCGTAACGTCACGCAGTAGATCGCAAGCCACGCCCACGAAGGCGGAGGTCAACTGCGGATTTCACGGCGGCAAATTCAAAACTCGTCAAATTCCTTGCTATTCCAACATCTTTTGATATGGGTTCCAATGGACAATTTTGGTCATTACTATACGTATTAGCATAACAGATCATGCACAGGTGCACACGGGGTCTTTAACCGAGAATTGCAAGGGAAAGGCCGAGAGCTTGGTCACATGATTAGCGCAGTGGAGGCATTCAAAGTGAAGCTCAGTTTGTGGACCACTCAGTTAAGACATGCAAGGCTGACACACTTCCCAAATCTTGAAAAGGTGTCACAAAACATCACAGACAAAACTGCTTCCCATCCTGAACAATTCTGCGCCCATTTGAACAAACTGACATCAGAATTTGGTGCTCGATTTGTGGAGCTACAAGACATGGGGCAAGTAGTTGGTTTTGTATCAAACCCTTTCCTCAGCGTTGACATTGAACAGCTGTCAGCTAAAATGCAGGAGGTGTTTACATTACCTATGGGTGTTGACATGGAGATCATTGAAATGCAAAGCGACATTGAATTGAAGACCAGAGCAAGAGATCAGGACTTTTGGTCACTCGTGAGTAGAGCGAGGTATCCACTGATTGTGCCATGTGCGCTTAAACTGAAGGCCTACTTTGGCTCCACATACTTATGTGAAACGGCCTTTTCACAAATGAAAATAATTAAATCCAAGTATAGAACTCGTATGACTGACGCACATCTTACTGACTGCCTCCGGCTGGCAATCACTAATATCAGCCAGATTTCAAAAGGCTTACAGATAATGTGCAGTCACAGCAGTATCATTAAAGGCCCTGTCACACTGTCCCGAAATTGACACCCGATGGACACACGAATATGGAATTGTGAATTTTGCACGATGATGGCCCCGAACCACACACGAAGGCAACATTTACATTACATTTAAGACATACAACTGCAATGAAAGTACCAAAAACAATTATGTTACAGTACTATGATACTGTACTGATATCTTCAGACTTTGTTCTTTACTTTATCCGTCGTTATATGTAGAAAATATTACGTTTTCTCCGTAATGTTGTTTCCATAACAACAACAACTTCCTGTCAACTGTCCTTCAAAATAATATATTATATCCTTTTTAGTTTCACAGAACACAAATTGGGTTATTTACATAATATATTTACATGATTTTGTTGTGCAATAAAACAACCCGATGGACACACGATAAAGGAAATGTTCAAATTCGGCTGTGATCGTAGCTACATCGGGCCATTCGTGAGGGCATCTTAAGCCTTCGTATGACCGCCGGTGGAGTTTCTCAGGCTCCGGCAGCAACTTCGTGAGCGGTGGCAAAATCTTTGGCATGCCTTAAAATTGCCGAAGGACCTTGCGAAGGTTCATTTTCGTGTTGAATTCGTGTGTCAATGTTGCCCTTCGTAAGGCCATCGTGAGGGCATCTTGTTATCATCGGTGCCATCGGGCATTCGCCCCGATCAGAGTGAGGGTGAATGCACCGATAATAACACGAAGATGACACGATTTGACAAGATGCCCTCACGATGCCTTACGAAGTTGCCGCTCACGAAGTTGCTGCCGGAGCCTGAGAAACTTCACCGGCGGTCATACGATGGCTTAAGATGCCCTCACGAATGGCCCGATGTTGCTACGATCGTCGTAAGGATCGCGGCCACTCTAGTCAATGGGTGCTATTACACCACACGCGCCGCGTTACGGCTCAGACGCGTCCCAGAAGCGGCTCGGCGCAGCGCTTCACTAAAATTAGGATGAATCCTATTTTTGCCGCGGCGCAGCCGTAAGGTAAAGTCGGGCAGGCAGCCCCCCCCTCGCAGGAAGTGGAAAGGTGAGCATCCGGGCCAGGCCCATCCCCCACATATACTAATTTAGCAGACCCCACAACACCTCCACTACGAAACGCACCATGGACGACGAGGTGTTCATAATGGAAGTGGAGAAACACACAATTTTATATGATGTAACCAATGCTTTTTACAAGGACAACATCAGAAAGGACAAGGCCTGGTTTTTAGTCGCTGCAGTTTGTGGAGTGGAAGGTAACAACTACATATTAATGTTTTAAAGTTAATTAATACTTATAGGTACAGTACAGAGCCATTCAGTAGTTTAACATCTTGTGAAAGTCTTGTGAAAACTGTTCAGTAAACTTGCATTTCACAATAAAGTAAGATCTTATTTCCTATATCAAGATTATTATATTATTATTATTTTGTATTTATATTTTTATAAATATTGGTTTTTTAACTATACTTTATCTTGTGAATTTCGCCCAGGGATCAATACAGTTGTGTTTAACTCTTTATAATGATATTATATTTTTGTATTATAATTTGTTTTTATTCATGTGTTATAACAACTACCCAAAATACTCTCAATAATGTTTAAATACAGTATGCTGTGGTGGAAAACCTTGCATTTATAGTCAGATAAATTGTGAGGACAGACAAGAATAATTTGGCAGTCATTTGTCAGACAAAACTATTTATTATAAATTGTATTACATACACAGAAAAAATATGTGAAATCATGTTATTAATCTGAATCTATTCTTTGTTTCAGTCGACATTTGCAAGGCACGATGGAAGTCACTCCGGGATGCTTTTGTTAAAAACAGGAAGAAATCTCTCCCAAGTGGATCTGCAGGTGGCATGCAAAAGGGCTGGAAGTATACAGACCTAATGTCCTTCCTTTTGCCCTATGTACAGCAAAGGAGGTATGTATGCACATATTTTAATTTATATAATTTTGTAATTTGTGATGATGTATTGCAAAGGGTATGAAAGACTTTATTTTAAATTACATAAATATGTTCCTATTGCATAAATTAATCCCCAGAACAAATATTTTAATTGATTTCATGTTGTTGTTTCTTTTAATATAGTTCTACAAGCAGCTTGGGAAATCCTTCCCCATTAGAAGAGATAGAGAGAGCATCTACACCAGGAGCAGCATCTGGATATTCAGGCCCACGCACACCCACACCACCTACAGCCCCACCACCTCTGGTACCCACAACCTCTGCAGAGAGGAGGCCCTCTAGGTCCCGTAGCCCCCAGGGATCCACACCAGCAGCGGCGGCCATGCGTTCCACAAAGAGGAGGCCACAGAGCACAGACCTTGGGGAGCAACTAATTTCTCTACTGCAGGAACCTCCAGCCACACCACATATGCCAGACTCACCACTTGAAGAGTCATACTACTTTGCTCTGTCTGGTGCCTCTGCTACAAAGGCTGGACATAGACAGGAAACATCGGGCAAAAATAGCTATTTTAAACACCTTCCATAGTCTTCAAAGAAAGAGTACACAACCACAGGAACATTGGCAGCCAATTGTCCATCCCCCCACGTCACAACACTCCACTCACACCTCCAGGCCAGTAGCCCTTCGGCCAACTCCACCCCAACCCCCACAAGCCCAATCAACAGGGCCATTCGCAAACATGCTGTTCTCCAACAGTGGCTCTGCATGGCAGGATGGGTCTCAATATGAAGACTTGTAATTCATAGTTTTTACTGTAAATAGTTCCTTTTTTTGTGTTGATTTGCTGTTATTTGTGTTTAAAATGTTGTTTTGGGTGATATGTTTCGAATTAAAACGTTTATTATACTTGTGGTCATTGATTTATTGTCTGTGAAATGGGCATCTTACCTCAGTGCAACAGCCAGTCTCTGCTTGGGTTCTATGGCAGCTCTGAAATTTGTGGATTGTCTAGTCAGTTCAGGGCCCAGGAGGGACAGAAGTTCATCCATCTGCTCTGCACTCATCCGAAAATATTGGTGATGTCGTTGGCTGTCCAGCCTCAGCTCAGCCACGAGGTGATGAAAATCACCGGCTCCTTCTCGTCCCCCCATCCCCCCGTAGTCTTTCAAGTAGGAGAATACATGCCTCGATCAATAAAATTAATCACAATACATGCCTCCTCCGGTTTATAGGCACTGTAAATGATATATATATAGAATAATTATGATGATGAATGCATATTTTTTTACCACTAAAATACAGCAACACATCTTTGATTCATGTCGTTTATAACTGGAATATTACAATTATTATTAACTGTGTCTGTAGTCTACAACACAACAAAATAGGAAATAACAACAATAAACACGATTTAAACAGACACAAACATAAACCATTTAACTACGTATAGCCTACTTACTTGTAGAAGTACAAATGTCCAGGAAATATTCCAAAATCAACAACAACTGCGAGGCTGCACACACGACGCTCCGCTTCCGCAACGTTTTGAAACGCGTCTGGTGTGTGTTGTCGCAGGAGGAGGTCGCAGCGTGGCGCAGCCGCAACGTAACGCGGCGCAGACGCTCCTGGTGTGTTTTGGGGGTGACCCCTAGTTTCCACCGGGTCCGTCTGCGCCGCGCTGCGCCGTGTTACGGCTGCGCCGCGGCGGTCGTAAGGATCGCGGCCACTCTAGTCAATGGGTGCTATTCCACCACACGCGCCGTGTTATGGCTCAGACGCGTCCCAGAAGCGTACCAGAAGCGGTTCGGCGCAGTGCTTCTCTAAAATTACCCCCAAAACACACCAGGAGCGTCTGCGTCGTGTTACGGCCGCGCCGCGGCGGTCGTAAGGATCGCGGCCACTCTAGTCAATGGGTGCTATTACACCACACGCGCCGTGTTACGGCTCAGACGCGTCCCAGAAGCGGCTCGGCGCAGCGCTTCTCTAAAATTAGGATGAATCCTATTTTTGCCACGGCGCAGCCGTAAGGTAAAGTCGGGCAGGCAGCCCCCCCCTCGCAGGAAGTGGAAAGGTGAGCATCCGGGCCAGGCCCATCCCCCACATATTCTAATTTAGCAGACCCCACAACACCTCCACTACGAAACGCACCATGGACGACGAGGTGTTCATAATGGAAGTGGAGAAACACACAATTTTATATGATGTAACCAATGCTTTTTACAAGGACAACATCAG